GAGAGTTGTGACAAGGGGAGTGGACTTGAATTTTGTTATTTTTTCAGAAACTATTGTACTTTAATTAATTTTAGTGATGGTTTTGAAAATAGAAGGAATGGCGCTAAACTAATTCACATGAGTCATAACTGTGGAATGTTTCTTAAGCGAGATAGAGCCCCTTATGTAAAAATTGTCACAACTCTCCTAGGTCTCCCCTACCTACATTTTAGTTTCGGAAATTAAAACCCCTCACTAATAATTTGCAAATTTATTAAGTTTTCACCTGTGTAGAATGTTGTACATTCTTATAAATTATTATTTTTTTTTAATAGTTTTTATGGTAGCCTAACCTGTTGTGAACATACCTACATATGTTATGCTTATATGCTACCTACAGACATACACTTAGATATCGTTGATGGTAATGACGTCTTATAAGACGTATCATATACGAAATTTACTGCAATTAAATTAAAGAAAACGTGAATTATGTATGTATTAAGATCTTTAGGTCGCTCTTTAGGTCCTTTTGCCAAAATTTTTATACGTGTCAACTCTGGACTGAATACACGAAAATAGCACATGATGGCCTTCGAGTAACTTATAATAACATCTTTCGACATCTAATGAAACTAAAACGTTATTGCAGTGCTTCAGAAATGTTCAGCGTAAGAGAATAGCATCCTTCATGTCCAGAGTCGACAGGTTTGATAATGCTGTGGTAAAGGCTCTAGCCGAAAGACTTCTGCAAACTGTAACATATAGACGATGGTTGGATATTGCGACCTGAATCTATGTAATAGAAAGGCATATTATACTATGTAATATTTTTATTTGTAATCATGTTTCTGTAATTTGTAATTTTTTATGGATCACTGGGTCTGAAATAAAGATTTATTATTATTATTAAGTACATAAAACATAGAGTGGGCGAAGAAAGAGAAAAAAGTAATAGTTGTCACTCGTTTTCACTAACCTAGAAAGCATCAAGACATAAGTAGTTTATCTAGAAAATGCCTAATTAGATCAGTTTAATTCCAAATAAATATTTCATCTTTTGTCTCTTGACAAATTTGTGACGTGATGACAAGGTGATGCACTTAACTCTAGACATTGCTGAAATGCCTATTCTTCTTAGACGATTATGGTAAGCGATAATAAGGCGACAGACATGGACTACTCTTAAGATTAATGAAAACGGGCTTAAGTGCAACTGGGGCAATGCCTTGATTTTATATAACTCGGGTGACACATCTACATACAGTGTTATATATCATTAATTGCTGGGTTGAAATAATATGTTAGCATTACTAATACGTATAACCAAAAAATAAATAATGTATAAAAATTATCCTAATTATTTTAAGTGAAGAACGCGTGAGATCCGATATGTTTTTCCTATAATAGGCAATCTAAATAATGTTACATGCTCCCACAAATATCAGATGATTACTCCATTATAATGGGTAAAATTATAAAAATGACTGTCAATAATGTCAAAGCTACTAATAATATAAATGGTGAGGTACCGGAAATCGACATGATTGGCCAATGATTGCAGCGAAGCAGACAATATGGCTTCTGTTCCGGTGTGGGCGGGAAATGGCTGTTGGCTAATAATACGTTTGAATAAAGTAAGATGGGACATTTTGTTTTAATTCACAAGACGTTCTGGTTGGGTAGTGTAGGAAATTATAACGGTGGTAATAATTTCACTAGTATAATGTCAAAAAGTCAAAATCGACTTATGACAAAATGTCAAATGCCTTTTTTTTTAACGAAAAGTCTAATCGTTTAATCGCCTTTTTCATTATGTTGCCACCTGAGAGGACTCTGATTCTTCTTCTGGCCGAATGAATACATAAAAAATAAAGTTACTCAATTTTATCCGATCTCCATGGTTTTACAACTAAGTACTTTGTTGCCTATAATTTTAATAACATAATTATTTACATTAAATATAATATAATTAATACACCTCCAAGGTCACATCCTGTCGTCTATCGAAAACACTAATAAGTCGGAAATTTTTATGATGAGTATTTCTTATGTCAGAAATCTTCTTGGATTTTAAATACATATTTTCAGTCTTTCGCTTAAATGTATCATATAATAGGTATTCTTAACTATAACATAGACGGAAGAACGTGATTTAACGGGATAATTTAGTCTATTTCTTAACTAATTCTAAACTTGATAACTAATTCTAAGTATTTGTAAGTTATTGTCAGATTCGATTTATATTTGTAAATTGAAATTAAGATGCAGAGTAAGGATGTCAAATATAAAATTTTATATTTTATTTTCGGTATAAAAATTAATTATTGAACTTTGAATAAATAGAGAATTTAATGTAGTTTACCAATGAAGCCTTTATTATTATATCAGATAATTTTTAAATTGTAAGTGTAGGTTTCAATTGTGAGAATACAAATAAAACAGACATCTTTAGTTGATTCAGTGTTAGCTTAGGATCAACAGAGCAATTTTTAAAATTGTAATGATACAAGCTTTTATTTATTAACTTGCAATCAATGTTACGTTTGCTATGTTCAGCAAATCTTGCAAATGAATTAAGAAGTAATAATTGCTTTTTAATTCAGTCAACGTTAAGGCCTCAACGTATTACTTAAAATAAAATTTTAATACAGATCTAGATAACATTATAAATATATAACAGCATTATAAATCCAATATGGCAGACACACAAGACGGTTGACTAATTAATTAATTAGTCAAAATTAGTTAAATAACTCCAAGTCTTAAGTATTAAAACACAAAATTCGATCAGTTGACTTCTCTACAATTCCGAGTCCTCTAAAATTTTTATTTCGTATCTTCTGTAAAATTTACTACACAATATAAACTCCTTTATGCTAAAGCAGGCAAGTCTACCCCAATTTCCTTAAGTAATATTTGGCAGCTCCGCACAGAGTTCACAAATAATGTCGAATTAGTAAGTATAAATACTTATTCGATACTTCACGGTGCAAAGATTTCCTTTTGATCAGCGGTATCTAGAAAAATTCAGTTTTTTATATAGCCATGCTTGGCGTTTATCCTTACCTAATATGAGATATCTCTTTTTAGGAGTCCCACTATGCCTTTTTTATATAAAAAAATATAACTAAACAGTATAAAAAACATGAACCTTTGACGACAAAAAAAAATGTTTTGTGATTTATTGAAAATCTGAAAAACAAGCAATTAAATCTCAGCCCTATCTCACCGGGCATCAGCAATGATACCTACTTATTCTGACAAGTTTTCATGTGGTTTCTAAATGACCAGTACCGTGGTTTCTGTGACTCTCCGTTTTAGAGTCATATGTAAAGAATTCATTAAAAACATAAATATCTTCTATAAGTAGGTAACTGGGTACATTTTAGAATTGATTTCTAAACATCGACAAAATAAACTTAAAGATAGACGGCATGGGTATAACAATCATTAATCAAATTATATATATTTTTATATATCTTTAAAGTGCTTTTTATCTTTTGTTATTAACTATAAACTGTACTTTTTAGACATCGACATATCCTAGTATATTATAAACGACCTAATGCTTTTATAAAAACAACAGTCAATTTCAAAATTAGATTAACTTTTTCCCGCGTGCCGTGATGCGTGAAGCGCGAATGTAAACACAAATTCCAAAATGGCGGCCCAAACGTCAACCGTTACCTACCGTAATCGAGGGTGATTTGTGAGACGAATTTATTTAATGTTTGTTGAGTACATGCGTAAAATATTGTGTTTTTTTTTAATTGAATTTGTTTATACTCTTTTAGTTTAAATAGTATTACAAGCTTATATTATATAACATAAGCAATTAAGGTTTTTTGATCTAAAAGACTTTCTTATTTTAAAATTTCTTTCTTTCAGTATCAACGTAGATTTTTCTTTTTGTGACCATAGAGCATCATTATAACAATAATAAGTAAAAATATAAATATTATAACGCACGTATTTATTTTAATATTTGTGACAATTTTGGCTGACTTTTTAAGAAAATCGCGAACAAGGAGGAGTATAGAATTTGGAGGAAGTAGCGACTTTTCGTTGGAATTACGTAACGGGATACTAAAGCAACTAAGGAAAAAAGTCAGAAAATTTCTGTCAAAACATTTTTTTTTTGGTAAATTACAATTTTATCGTAAAGAACATCTTAAACAATATTAGGTTAGAAATCGTTCAAATTTTATTGTCGAATTTAGACAATAAGACTACCACTGATTTAAATTAAGAATTGGGTTTCTACGTTGAAATCTTTATGATACGTACCAAGATAACCTTTACCTGTACTAAAAAGAAAAGTCAAGCAGGTATTTTTAATTAAATAGTTATAAAATATATTCTAATACGTTTTCATTCTTTCGATTATATAAATATATAGGTTATGAATGTTGTGTATTCGATAAAAAATAAAAAAACAATTTCATAAACTAGATGACATCATGCTTACAAAGAGATTAATATGTTACAAAAACGGTAGAGGAAAACTAGGTAAATTATAGGTTCAAGTAAATTATTAATTGTAAGTATAGAGAAAGATGGAAAAACGACTACAAAATAAGCTGGCTGTAAATTAGCATCTAATTATAATCGGCTGGTAGCTGCCAACTTTCGACAATTAACCAATGAACTATAAATGAAGGAAAAGTGGCAATTTCTACAGTGACAAACGTCAGCCTTATCGACTCTAAATAATGGAGCCAGTAGTTAGACTTGCGTCTTCATCCCGGTAATTAACTGATGCCCCACTCCCCCCTACCCCGCCGCCCGCGTCTACCGGCGGCAAGCTAAATTAATCACACCACGAATCTCGCCCCCCGATCCAGGACCGGATTAAAAAGTTTTATTGGAGCTTCGAGTGCGACAGCCCGACTCGCCTTGCTTTACACTATCGCCCAATCACATCATCGTAGCAATAAAATGAAGCGCTGCCATTGGTCGACGCTTAACAAGCTCCGCCTCTGATCACCGCCCGCGCTAGGGCTGTCATACGCCACGTCAGTTGACCGAGGCACGTCGACTCGTCAGCCGTATTTCGTGTTAGCTATCGTGTTTGTGAGATAAACACACCGGGCGGGACACTCCGATTGATTCTGTGACTGTTGTGTGATGGATCTGTGATTCGAACTATGGAGGAGGAGTCGATGTCCGGACATAGCTGTTCTGAAGACGACATCAGTGTTGGGCGACCATCGCCGGCACCGTCACGGTCACCGTCGCCCCATGATTATTTTAGGCCATTGAAACGGTTGAAGATGGCCTCTGAGCCAGCGGAGGAGAGGCGTGGTGAAGGAGTGAAGAGTTTTTCTATATTGGACATTTTATCGCACAGTCCGCGGACGCCACCGCGCATAGTGCGGCCATGGGATGCTTCTGGATTCGAGCGGTTGCAGCGGTTGCAGCGCCTGGCGGGTGCAGCATTACTGGACGGTGAACGGTGGCGATTAGCGGCACTGGGTTTGCTTAGGCCGCGAGAATTAGCGCCGGCGGAATGCTGCGACTCTGCGTCTGAGAGATCCTCATCAGCATCAGATTGCTGCTCCGAACCCAGACGAGCACCGCAACAAGGCGGAGCTTCACACACACCCTTGGATGCCCTGTTCCATATGACTAGCAAAACCTTCGAAGCGAACAATGCTGACAGTGGAGGTAAGTTACATTATTATAATAATTTTCACATATTCAATTTAACACAGTCGTACCAACGAATATATAGGTACTCAAACAAATATACTATTTACGCTCACGGTAGTACCTAAATTTGTCAGTATTACATTAGATAAATTGTAAACTTGATTTAAAGCAATGCCACAAAAAATGTAACTGCTTATAAACCAAATACCTATATTACAAAAGTATTCCTGCGGTCAACTGACCAATAAGAATCAACACAGGACTGTAATCTTCAAGTATTTCAGTTAATTTTTTACTCCACCTTTCAAATCAATAGTGACATTCTAAGCTGACATCACAGATCGTTCAGAAACGTTAATTTTGATTATTTTTCAAATTTAGTTTATTATAGTTAAGGGTATATGTATATGTACCTAAGTATCTGTACTCTTGTATTATACATATAAACCTTTCTTTTGAATCACCCTGTATATTGATGTAAACAGCAATAAATACCATTGTGCAATTGAAAAGATCAAGCCTACAGACAGCGTGAATCTACATTTTATACTATGTATAGATTAGTTATTGTTTTCAATAATAAACACGAGAAATCATAAATTGTCTAAGAAAAATAAAAGAATATGTAATTTCATTTATCCAAATAAAAACCTATATCATGTAATACTATTTAAATAAAAGCACTCTTGTACTAAAACATCTTTATTTAATAATTTAATAAATACATACGAGTAAATATATTCTTATTCACTTAAAATAATATGTTTGAGTTATTTGAAAATATAATTTAGTATTAGAAAATTATTTTAAATATCAGTCCTATCACCGAAAATAGATGAAATGTAAAAAAAATCTGAAATATGTATTTGCACGCAAACAAAATGTTTTCCATGTGTCAAAAGACATTGACATTGTTACAGTTAATTAAGTACTATATGTGCTGAATAGTATCAAGTCAGTCGATTTGTCTGTCCTTGATGAATTGTTTGCCGAATTAATTGCACTAATTAAATGTCATTCGGAATTAATCGTCTATATCTGATTTGTAGTCGACCGTAGACAATTTTATGAACAAGTACGAATGGATAATAATATGATTGTTATCTATTTTATTTATTTATGTAGATATCAACATAAATAATAATAGTGTGTTTAAACCACAGGTGAAAAAATATTCAGTATTCTAATTTATTTTATAATTGTGATTACGAATAAACACTTATGCCCGTTTTCACTAAACTTAAGAGTCATACTACTAAGCCATAAAAGAAAGAACATTTATTTAGAATTAAACTTATATGCTTAGGCAATTAGTAAGATTAGGCGTTTCCTAGTTAAGCTATGCCTTGTTCTAGGTTAGAGAACCTTGTTTCTTGTTAGGGTAGAGTACCTACAGCACCTTTCAAGAGAATAAATTAATCAAATACGGTTATTTTATGAAAGCAAGACAAAAAGGCTCTTTGTTTTTAATTTATTTAACATGTCTATTCTGATTTTGGTCGATTTTTTGAGAAGTGTATTTAATGTTTGTCAAAGATAATGAGAATCAAAGTACATTATTAATCAATCAATCCTCATATAACCATCAAACCATATTCTTTTCATTTGTCAACAAATAATATATACAATATATTTTATATTTACCTACTAGTACCTTATATATTTATGAAGTTGTATGAAGTTGAAATATCTGTTTTTTTGTAAATTATCATTAAATATATGAAATTTCGTATTCCCTTATTCGTACTTTTTTATATATGGTGTGTTTTGATTTCAAATAATAAAAACAAAACATTATGAAAAAGTTGATATGAGTCTATCTTTAATTATGATTTCTAAAGTCACGTTGTGAAAAGAATTTTTCTGCATTTTTTGCTAATGAAGTTCTCAGTTTGAGTGTAATGGCGCTTAAAAATTAACAGGCTTTTCCAATATGTCCCCTATTAAAAAAATACCACAAACAAATATTTTAAAATTCCACCCGGGGTGTGGAGCATAATAATCTCCCTTGATATGATTACAGGGCGGCAACAAAATTGAACGTTCGAAGACCCGAGCGCACGCCGGTCTTGTATATACTAATTGTAGGCAGTAAATTTTTGATGCCTTTGCTTTTTTCGAATGACAATGACACATTTTGATGGGTACTAAAAGTGTAAATGAAAATAAAAACTAAATTGGAACTGGTGGTAGATTATAGTAGCCATGGGTAAATAAATAAGTCAAAAGTAGGTATTTTTAAAACAATTTAATTTAATAAATGTAAACGTTGCCATAAAATATATACTTTGTATTGGGAATGTGTCCAAAAGTATATTTTTGGAGGTAGCTATACTCTTAAATAAAACGACGATCAACACCTTATTCTTATGTGAACACAAAATCTGTAAAGGGTCCGAAACGTCAATAAAACTATCTATTTTTTTACTATATTTCATGGAAACAAGCTTAATAGTAAAACATTACTAGAATAATAGATAACAAATAACTTATAAAAGTATATTAAATAAGTAGAATCCATTTACAATGCTTTTTAAAATAGCTTCCATAATTGAACATTGCAACGGTTCTACATCATTACAAAATTAAACCACTTAATAAAAATAACAAATCAATGAGGCCTTTTAAGACCACAAAAATTATACGCAGTCATTCAGACCCTACTCAAACCCCCAAAAGAGAATTAAATTGACTCTATGAACGTAATTTACACGGACATTGCAAAAAATCTATTGTTGCTGGCACAAAAGAAGACATCAAACGGCTAACTGTAACAAAGGTCTGTGGAAACGTCAAAAAGAGGCGGGAATATCTATGCTCCATATGCTACGAGATTAACATGTAAGCGCCGAACAGTAATTTGTCAATGGCAACACTTTCCTGATTGAGGAAGTCATTCCTCGTTTTTGAACGGATATGTTTTATGTTTTTTTTTCTATTCCCCTAGTGCATAGACACCACGGGAGATTAGAAATTAATGTTGAGGATATATCATAATCATTACATTTTCATTATAACAACAGCGATTGCACAACGACTTCTCGGTTTTTATGTCCTAAATACTTGAATTTTGTTTTAGATCAATCAAAAACCTAATAATTAGATATCATTTTAATGAACCCTGGTGTTGCTCCTTTGAAATTTTGTAGAAAAATTTAAAAAAGCTCATTATTTAAAAAAAAATCACAATATGCATTTTCAGGCAAGTTAATATTTTGTCTTTAAGTCCTTTAGTTGTAACTAAAAGTTTATAAACGTATGGATAGGAAATATACAATCACTATTAAAATTTAAAGTTCTGTTCATTTTATGAATCATATTACAGCTCCTGGAATTAGGTTCCGGACCCTTATTTTCCTATAAAAGAAGTTAATAAAAAATGTATTACGTTCTCTGCTTAATTACAAGTTCAATTAACTTTACTAGGTAGGCAATGAAACATAAAAAAATTATTGTTTACCATAGATCAACCTATCTACAATTTTCTGACCCTTTATGTCAGCTTTTCGGCAAAGGCATTCCGATGGCCGAGAATCATCAAGCCTACTACTAATTTGGCCGTTTACATTAAACACAACCATATTATGTATTGCATCTTTAAAAACCACTAATAACACAAATTGCATAAAAATGTCGTTGAATTTATATTAAAAAAAAATATACTATCATTAAAGTAAACAGACTGTGTCGATCTATATTACTTTCATTCAGAACATTTATTGTCACAATCTGTTAATCATTCTGCATGTAATTACTTATCTACTTTTTGTAGTTAAATATAACATTTGTGTCATTACGTCGATGTAATCTCAATAACGACCGGTTGTTATATTAACTGCGCTTTATGTTGCATACGAAAAGATATATAAATGTAATGTTTCACCTTGTTTAGAAAAGGTCCTGTATTTCTTGGACTTTGCAGTTTGATATTATATATAAAAACTCGGACCGAACCTCGGATCGGCCTCAGAGACGGCAAAAGCGGCATACGAACCACTCGCCGGTTTCAAGATTTTCCAAGTCTGAGATCCCGAGTTCGATTCCCGGTTGGGTCTATGAAGAAAACTGAGCTTTTTTATATTATATTGTCTCGGGTCTGAGTGTTGTGGTACCTTCATTGTCTCAGATACTCCATAATACGGGGACTTTAGCTACTCATCTTGGAATCTGATCAATGTATGTGATGTTATCTAATATTAAAAAAACAAAGTGAACAAATAATTTCATAAATCGCGTACAGCTTTGTTACAAGTGAAAATAATAACATTGGTATGAAAACTTTACATAGGAAGTATAAATTGGCTTCTCTTTTATTTTCTAGCGGCCTTAGAAATAAAAATGGTTTTAATAAAAAAAAAAGCTAATCTATAGAAGCAGATCGCTAATTTGTTAAAAAAATTGGGTAATTGAGTTTTTACTTTTTGTTTCTGAATAAAGAACAGACAAAAGCAATTAGAATTTGTATAAAATTTATAACAGTAGCGTCATCATCAGACATAGACAATCCGCTGCAGTAACCCGTCGTCTTTTATTATTTTTTTGTGCTCAGCACAAATTACTCTTTATATTGCCGCTTGTGGGGTCCGCAAAGGTGTTAGTCCTGGCACGTTTGTGAGCCCTTAATACCGAAAAAAAAAACAAGCAAAAAGCTGCCATTATGGAAGTATAGTGTAAGCTTTTACACGAATTATATGAGTTTCGGGATAAAATCGCTGACTAATTGATTGTGAATGGAATCTTTATTAATTTAAAAGTAGTGGAGACCCATTTTGAATCAAATTGAATTTAACCTATGTGTATGAAGTAATAAAAACAAAGTAAAAGACATGTTACATTACATGTATTTTCCTGTACTTAAGCAAATGTCTTTTGTTAAGTGTATTTTTAAGGATTAACAAAAAATACCTAATACAGCCTAGATTTACATCTACAGTATAAATAATCGTTTGGCAATTTTACTGACAATTTATTTTCCATCACAAGTATATTAAATTATCTTTCATTCTATTCAAAGT